AAAATTAACTCTATCCCAGCCGAAACCAGGACAGTTACAAAACTGTAAAAGGAAAAGTGAATTCCCTTATACATCACTGGAAAAGGACAGCATGCTTTATGAAGAAAAAAAAAAAGCATCTTTGCCATAAATGACTGATACAGAATAGAGTCAGCACCAACAACTCTATTCAGAAGATAGCTCACTTACTGGTCTTAGCACTTCAGTGAAAATATCAGCATATAAAAATTCAACTCTTCTATATTTATTATAGTAGTCTGTCTTGATGCAGCGCACAGACACCTTTACAACTGTATACAGAAATAGTAAAACATCCTCTGTCCTGAAAATCTTAGGATCTAAAAAGGAAGGACAGATAAGGACAACAGGGGCTTTCCCAAAGCTGGTATGAGAGGCAAACAATGGTTGCAGTGACTTCAACTAGATCGTTTACAGAAACTGAAGTGTTTCAATGAATTAAGTTGCTCCATATTCCCTTTTGCAGAAATTACCTAAACTTGATAATGAAAATCTATTGTGGGCTGCCTCCTTTCAAAGGTACTCCTCAAGGTAAATCTTCCACTCCTGCACAAGTAAACCCATGAGGGATGCAAGCAAAATAACTCTGACTAAATCCAACTGCCTTCTGTTAGACAGTTATTTCCTCTTCTGGTAACTTTTTTTTTTTTAATCTTCTATGAATCAAGTAGAAAGCAATCCAACCTTTTCATTTTGTGGACAACCTTCATTGGCTTTCCTGTTGCTCTTATTTTTGAGCAGCATCTAGCAGAGAACTGTCTAGGTGACCTAATCTCTCCTAACATGGCACAACAATACTAAAGGAGAAACAGAGTATTTTCCTCTATAGCACTCTTAGAGCAAAGGTTTACTAGAGAAAATGAACAAATTACAAGGACCAAACAAACAGATTTTCTGCATTAATAAATCAAATAATTTTATAGTCATATTAATGAAGCATTTCATATCTAATAAAAACATTTCTGTTCTTTGGTTGCCAGAACATGAGATTCACCCAAACGTTCAGCTGATGTGTATGTAAAAGTCAGTCACAATACATGTAACTCTTCACAATCTCACTGGACATGTGGGAGCTATTGCTCAAGTCACCAAAAATAATCTTTTGGATAAAACCACACCTGCTTTTCTTAATACTGTGGTTCAAATTACAAGTACCAGAATGTTATTTTTTTAAGATTCATCATGTTTTACTTACAACACATTCAGTCTATTACTATCATTGTGTTATGGACAAATAAAAATGCAACAAAAGTCACACTAGTCAGAAACACTCTCAAGCATCCCCAAAACTATGATTCTTTTAACAGTTAGCTTATCTGAAAGGAAAATCTTTTTTTCTCCCTCCCCAAAGATGGTGGGACAGCGTATTTTAGACAAACCTTGCCAACAGGAACATTCTTAACGTCTTCCACAAACACAACTTCCCTCAGAGACCACTGTTCTTCATTCACTTTCTCCTCCTCTTTTGGGGCAGGAGTAGATCGTCGTCGCTCTAAGACAAAAAAGTTATTACCAAAAAAAAAGACTTGAGATATTTAATCAAAGCATCAAAATGCAATGTTCAGTGAACACCAAACCTTTCCCCCTAAAAAGATTATCAACAGTCAAATCTAGAAATTAACAAGAGGTTAACAAGAATCTGACTTTAAAAGTCAGAGCTACCTGACAGTATACCATGCCACTTTCATGTTTTTCTAGGAAATTAGCACTAATAAAGCCTATCTGATAAAGAAAGCAATTTTTAAGGACATTTAAGCAAAATAGTTAGAATACAAGAAATTGTGTTGGCAGGGCTCAGATATTCATGCTGTAAGTAAAAAGGCTGACGTTGTAAGACCCTTCATTCAGCCCTGCTACAGTGCTTTGTATCACCCTCACAAAAAGTCTGCTTGTCCACTACGCATGGATTTTTGGTAAACATCTAGAAGAGTAGCAAATGAGGCAGAAAATAGCTCTTTGGGCTAACAGCAATTGCAACAGTAAGATTTGCTGCAAAGACATTATCCGAACAGTAACTGTAGTACACTAAGGATCAAATTCAAATATGCATCACAGGTAAATTAACACTGACAAGAACTTTAGTCTCCTGAATTGAGTATATAGTATAATTAATATTATCAACATATTTAAAGTAAGAAGCAGAGAACTTCTAAACTAACTGTGAAGTTAACTTCAAACACTAGTTCAAAATCGCAAGCAAAGTTATAGTCAGTGAAAAACTGAAGTTGAAGGAACAGAATTGCAGTTGAAGGAACTGCAAAAGAGAAGACGTCAGTAGCAAAAGACTCTACTAGTAAAATTAATTAGTACTGCAGATCTAAGCACACAAGATTCTCGGTCACTGAATGAGGCCATTTGGTTCTCTAGGTGAATGCTTCTTAAAACTGCAGTATGTGAACAATTAGAAGAAACAGAAGCAGAGAGATTTCTTCAAATGATGGCACTGTAATTAACCCTTTATAAACGTATGGGTTTAAATGGAGAAAAAATGCTTAAGGTCAGTTACATGAATTCTACTAATGCAGCCTTTTAGGTTTTTTAAGTACAACTTGTACTATAAAACTTCTCTCACTGCTTTTGTATGTTAGTAAAGAGTATCTAGTTTTAGACATTCTATGTAATAGATGATGAACTACCGCTTTATGCACTGAAGTTCACATGCAAGGCAAGCTGTGCAAGAACAGCTTAATCTTAAAAGGAATTTTTCAAGTTCAACTTCTGGGCTGTAAAGAAACTCGCTATCACATTGCAATAAACAACTTTATCTCCAGACTACCTCTTGATCACCTCCTGAAAGATACTTTTGATTCTGAGAACTGTTATGCTTGTTTAGATACACCTTACATCAAGTAGTCACTGCTTATACTAATACATTTAAATTTAACACTGACAATTCACTGATTATCTAAAGTCTATTATTACAAAAGCCTTTACATATATTGCAGTTCAGACTGAAAGACAGAAAAGGATTCTGCAATTTGTACAGATCTTTGTAGAACTGCCTTTTATGAAAACTTCGTATCTACACAAACATTTTATGTTACTATGAGCTACACATTACTTACTATATGGCATTGATGCACTGCTTGCTATTGAAGATGCATCACTACAAGTAGAAGCTGGCGATGGCGGAGGACCCATCTCAGTTTTTACTGGTTCCTGTTTGCTTTCAGGTCTAGAATAAAAGGTGTTACTTAGAATGAAGAAAGAAAAAGGTGAAATCTTTTCCATGGCAATGGACAAAGTGTCAGTGTGTCCCAGCCATGTTCCTTTAATAATACTTTAATGAAATAACTCCATACTTGCGAACAACCATCCTAACCGACAAGGCTATACATCTGATGTTGGGAACGGTGCTATGCTGCTTAGTCAGGGATTAGCTTTGTAACATTAACCGAGCATAGACACAGTATTACAGAAAATAAACAGGATATCCTTAGATGTGCTTCACTTGAAGACAGGAAGAATTATTAGCTTTATACAGTAACCTGAAACTCCAGAACTGCTAAACTTTTTCAAGCTTTTCTTGAAATGGTTTAAATCTGTTTTAATAAACATTTAAATGGCAATTGTCAACCCAGTGATTTTTTTCCCAAACTATGGAGGGGCTGAAACAGGTCTTGCAGTGCCATGCAGAAGGGCCTAAAAACAGTTAGTTCCGTAACAAAACCACTTTCAGTTATTCAAATATAAAATCTTGGAAACTTTATGAAACACTGCAGGAAAGTCTTCATTTAATACTCCTTCTGCAGTTCACATTTCCATAGTGGTTTCATACAACTGAGATGCCTTTCCTGCAGTGAGCATTTCTGCACATTTAGCGGAGTTTACAAGAAAGCTAGCATCTTACAAAGAAGGCAAGGGGTTCAAACTGATAAAAAACTGACCTTCTTTCTTTTCAATTTTTAATCAATCACCAATTCAAGAGAGTATCAAATAAATGTTCTGTGTGTATGCGTGTGTATTCTCAACACTTACTTTGCCTCAGTAGTTTTGCTAGCTTTCTCCATGTTTTTCAAGCTCTCGGGTGACCGAAGCTGAAACCGACAGCTGTCATTCATGTTCCAAACAGATTCCATTAACACACCCACTTTAGGAATTCCAGCACTGATTGAAAAAGCAACTGCTCCAGCATGATAGAGGGGGTTATTTCTTAAACACACCTACAGACAGAAATATTTATCTCTGTGAGAACAATGGATTATACTGAGGGAAATCATACATGCATGCATTTTCTTGGTGACGTATGTAGTAGTCAAAAAATAAGAAAACTTATGGAACTAGATGAAGAGGAAAGTCAGCATGATGTACTATGCACTTTGCTAGGAAAAAAGAGGGTGTTGTGCAAGTCACAGCTGACAGCAACAGTTTTAGCAATGCAACTGTTTAATATATAGTATTTAGATGCTCAACCACAAAAGGAACAATTCAACCAATAACAAAGACTCATCCCAGAGTTGATTAGAATGGATTTGGAACCAAAAGAAACGTGCTCCCTGGGAAGGGGCTGTTTTGTCTCATGCTAGTTCTAATACTAATCACAAAAAGGATCCTACACCTCTGTATCAGCTATTAACCTTTTTGGTAAAGGCTTCAAACCAAAGGCCTATTCCACTGCTTAAATAAATCAAACCCAGATTCTAATATTGCAGGCACTTAAATGCCAAATCATTTACAAAGCTATGTGCTCTACTGAGAATTGTATTTCTATAGTTACTCTCTCTCGAAATACAGAATCGGTAGGTAAAGTTAAAACAGAAGTACTTTGTACAAATACAGCTTGTTGCTCCATGTTTGCAGCAATAATCATACTTGTAAAACAATAACAACACTAACAGGACACATCAATTTACAGACATATAATTAAAACATACTACTTTAATTCCATATTACTGATACAACTTTTGTGCATAACAAGAATAGAACCTAATTTGGTTGGCTGGTTTGGTTTTTTTGTTTTGTTTTAAGAGCAGGCTGTAAGCTCATGGTTTAGCACTGTAAAAATGCCATTTGTGACAGCTGCACTTGCCTGGGTTCCAACGGTTATGTTTGGCATAGAGGAGATACCAGCACTAGACTTCGGCTTTTTATTTTTTGCTCTGGCCTTTTCTAGCATTTTCTTCCTTTGGCTGAAAGGAACTACACCCCTGTGGAAAAACACATATTATTTTAAAAAAGGCTATAGAAGAAATACTTTCTAACTTTGAACAGTTTATTCCTTCTGCTTAATGTAGTCATGATCAAACACACAAGCCTCTGTGCCACCTTCTCCAAAGTCTCAAAGCACTGTAGAAATGACATCCTTTTCTTTATTCACCCCACTTTCCAAATTCATCTCAACTGGCCAATTTATAGGAAGAGGAGGAAGAGGGAGAGCACGTAAGATATATCACTGCCAAATGGCTTTCCTTCTAGTCCAAAATGCTGCAAGACCTCTGTCACAGACAGTACGCTCCAGTCACAGCTTTCAAGTTGTGGGTTGTCCCCTCTGACCTTGAGGATATCTTTCCTATGACTAGTGATAGTTTCCAGAATTTGCAGTCACTGGGGAACAAGATAAGCTTTTCTGTTTTTTGAATTCTAAAAGCCTCACTTTCTCTCTGGGGATATGGCTGAAGGAGTCTAGGACTCATGACAGACTTAAGCTGCAATAGGGGAAAAAAGGACAATTCTTTTGTAATTGGATCCGCTCAGTTTAGCTGAAAATAACAGCTACGTACAAAGTTAAGCATGCTGCTTATTTTGATACTTCATGTTTTACTTAGTGGGTTATAGAGTTGGATGCTTTCATTTGAAAACCTCCTTCGTGTTAACTAAAACGTGAAAAGCATCAGTCCTGTGCAACACTAGAAATTGGAATCCTGTCTAGTGTACTACAGACCATTGTAACCAAGGATATCAATAGTAACAGAAGCTTCTGTCTACATCAATCTGATTAACATAGAAATCACTACTGCTGACATTTAACCCGTTCCAGAAAGGACATGTTGGTTAATAAATAAATTGCTTTCAAAGATTACATATAAACGCTAATAAGTCTTTTTATATATTGCACCAATTATTCTAAAAGCAGTAAAGATGGCAGGTTCTAATAGCCAGGTATCTCTAATGTCATGGCTTATTAGTTTCTATACTAAGAGTAATTACTCTAATTGAGGTATGTCAGCTGTGACATAACGAAAGAGCCAAGAACCAGAGAGCTGTAATTTTGAGATTTGGGGCTAGAAGTTAGAATAAAATATGCTTGTGTTTAAGTTTACAAGCTTAGCTACTATTCTACTTAAATATTTTCCAGAGGGTTATTAGAATTTAAGGAGAAAGCTGTTTCATAGAATCAATTTTCAATGCTCTGATTTCCAACTCATCACGAAGTATTTAACTCATCCATGCCTAAAAGCTACTCGAGCTTTGGGCATGACATGTAATGCAATGACTCCTGACACACTGACAAAAATAATGCATACTGACAATGCATTAGTAATATTCAATGAATTCACTCAAATTAGAAATTCATTTGAGCTCTTTTGGGAGTGTTATTTTTGAGGGTTTGGGGGTTTTTTTGTTGTCTTTTTTTTAAAAAAACATAGGCTTCTTAAATACCAAATTGTTAGCTAAAACATTTTAACAAACATTTCATATTTTACGATGTTTAAAAGTGTTATATTTTAACAACAAGCTCCAGAGGGAGCATCTGATGTTATTTCTCCCGTCTTTAAGATTTGGACCACAAACTAACAGACCAAATTTTCTAACAAAGCCTGACAGAAGAATGTGGACCTCATACATGGGAAAGTTTGTTCCATATTTATAATCTGAAAAAGACCTGAAAGGCATAAAGAAGGTTGTTCTCTGATACTGTGCAGTACTGATATATCTGAATGCTAAAGCACTTATACACGTCTCCTAAAAGGATAACCTTATTCTCTTAAAGATGGTATAATTGGATCCAAAAGCTTTAGGCATTAAAGAAGAGAATAAATGTATTTTAAAAAGGAAACCAAAGCTCAAGTACAGAGTTACAGAATTCAGAACAACTGTGGTTCAGTAGTTTTGCAATGCTTCTCAGAGACAGGGACATGAAGACATCCAGTGGATCTGCACTGTTGTACACAAACACAGTATTTACTTACCACCAATACAAGTTGTTTTCTAGTTGAGCACATGTATAAAGAGCACAACAATGTAAAGAAACAATCCGTTCTCCCTGAAGCTCCGAGTATGTTTGTGCAGTGTGTTCTAATTTAGAAGCTACGGAGCTTAAAGTTTCATCTACCCACGTAGCAACCTAAGGGAGAAGGGAAGAAAGGAACAGAGAAGGTAGGAGGAAAAAAAAAGAAAAAATTTTACCTTTAATGTAATATTTACTGATTTTTGCAAGGAAAAAAAAAAACCCAAACAAAAACACAGAACAAAAAAAGAAACAATGATTCCCTTTGGGATTTTATCCCCTACCACCTTTTCTTTCCCCAGAAAAGAGCTTTTCAGGATTTTTTTCCCTCTATTTCCAGTCCCCAACAAAAACAAAAAAGGTAAAAAAAAAATACAGAGAAGGGTCATAAAAATACCTCAACAAGTGCATACACTTTACCAAATCAGTTTCAAGTTCATTCTTATCTGGGCAGAAAAGCATATTTAGATAACTTACTTTACAGCACTGAAAGATTTAATGCCCTTAGTTTTTCTAGTAAATATATACAGAACACTAACAAGCTTCTCTGTTCTTAAACCAGTGTTAGTTTCTACTGCAACAGCAAAAAGTCAGGTATTTCAGATAATTAGGGAAAACAAGTATCTTCACTGTTTCAGCTGTAAATCTGCCAGATTTTTTTTTTTAACCTTTTTGCATTTTTACAACACACCAGTTGGGTTTCTGTTTTGATTTTACATCTGTATAGAGGGAAAGTAGTGGAATGAATGAATGAATGAATGAATGAAATACTTCTGCTACTGATGAAGCTGAAGAATCAACTGGTCTATGACATACTGCAAGTAACCAAAAAAACCAGCTTTGTCAAATTTAGCAACCAGCACACATCTCATACCTTGTTATTTTCAGTGGCAACAGTTGCTCTAATACTATTTGCAGAAAGGAGCACTATCTTTTCATTGGTTAATCCCAAGAACATGGCTCGTGGATGATGTAGCGAAGGATTCTTTGGAAACAAAAAAAATATTTTAGACATTCAAAGCATATAAATAATTTTGAAGGTAAGTATTTAAAGGTGTACAGTACCTGTGCATTTCTGTAAGGCTCTGATTCACTCCACTTCCACTGGTAGAGTTCTCCTTTACTGCTAACAGCCACGAGCTCAGAATACAGAGCTCCAATAGAAATAAACTTTGTTCCATCCTACAAATACAGAAATACAAAGTCTAAGATGGCAATATTATAAATATATATAAAAATATATAACTGCAAAAAAAAAAAGAACTTGTAACTGTTAATTTTTTTTCAGAGTTCCCATGAATGTTGAACTTGAAAATAAAGATATCCAGCTTGTCTCAAGCTCAGCATGCCCTCAAACACATACAAAAATAGCATTATTGCTTCTGACAGAGTGAGTGAAGAAAGAAACAGGTATTATTTTCTAGAAATTTAGCAATAACATATACATGACAGTTAAGTTGGACAGTTTATTAAGAGCTTCCACAACATTTTAAGAACACAACACATAGAATTAAAGATGGGAAGATCTCTTGACTTATGACATTTAAAAAAAAAGTTTCCCCCTAAAATTCTCGCTTTTTGAAACGATCAAAAAAACCCAACACAATTCCATTATTCCATTCCTAAGTACACTCATGAAGATATCTTCCAAGTACCCGAGAAATCAATTAACAAATTCACTACCTCATCAATTAAACAATTCTTATCTTTCACTTCTGAAAGTAAGTAACTGCAAACAAGATCCAAGTTTTAAAAAAACAAACAAACAAAAAAAAAAACCAAACAAAAACCCCCAGCATGCTACATGTCACATTAATGCATCGTTATGGCCTGATATGCTGGAAAAGCTTCTAATTATGGGTTATTCCCACCCCTGCCCTTTTCTCCTTTTTAACATTCTACCAAAATTCATATGACATCTTTCTGCTACTTAGACAGTACCACTTTGCTCAATTGCTTCATCCTATACCTCACCAGGACCTCACTGGCCTGTTTCCCCTCCCCCACCTTAGATTTGGTTGTATATCAATGTTGCAACAACTATGCAATAGTTACAATCTCACTTTTTCCAAGTTCCTGTTCCCCCTTGCATTGAAACAAATCTCAAATTACAGACTGTGAATTTGAGTGATTTAACAAAACATTTACTTCTGTCTACTGAGAAACATTTGTAAGGCCCATCCGTTCGCTGCTCCTCACAAGTGCAGCTATAGGCCAACCATGTTCTCTCTAAACTTCTTCACCATTAACAACTAAAAGTTCCCTTCCACTTAAGGGAGAAGACAGCTTTTAAAAAATGAAAAAACAACTTAAACTAGTATAAAATCAAATGCTGTCTTCTACAGCTACAAATCTGAAAGACAGGTACATGGTAACTAGTCTTCTCTGGGAAACTGAACTCCTGTCAGATCATTAAAAAAAGCCCACCATCCAGTACATCTACCTGTGCCCTAAATTAAGAGACTTTTCTTTCAGCTACCAAAGTTTACAAGTAGAAACATTTTTAGTTCCATAAATCTGGATTCACACTGGTTTTTTTTTTTTACTATTTTCATGCCCAGAAGTGCACATTTCAAAAGGTGTGAGTGTGTCCTTGAATAACACAGGATTCAGTACATGTCTTACCAATAGCTCAAAATGTTTACCAATATTTTGGGAAAGAAGAGAAAGAAGGCAGCAGGAAAGGACAGAAGCAATCACAAGCAATTCTCTTTTATACCCTGATAACAGGATCTAGAATTAGTTAAATCATAAGAGAATTATTTTGCTCTGGAGGGCATCTACCAACGCAGCACAGAAGTAGCATGAATGCTAATCTGTGTCATGATTAATACTTGCCATCGTATAAATATTGCATATTCTGAGAAAGAACTGCCAACAGACCCTACTGTAGTCTAATGAGATGCATCTCTACTTCATCAGCATAAATGAATCTTCAGAAGTTAGCTGGCTTAATGCCTCAAAGTAAAGTATGGAAAGCAATTAATTTTTGCTCCAAGACAGCATCATTATGACTTTTAATCTTGCTAATATGTTTTACAACTTTTTATAAACAAACAGTTTTATACCACAAGCTCAACACTAGACCTGCCATTCAAAATTCTTCTCTCCCTTCCATCAGAATATTAGCAGCTGTGATCTAAATGTTACAGGACCAACGCTATGTGCACTTCCATGACACCATTCAAAAGACTAACAGCACAAAGATGCACAAATGATATGACAGCTCTGGTTCTGTAACCAGAGTCTTATGTCTTCAACTATAAATTCTGACTTCAGACCAGACAAATGACATACTCGAAGATAATGCAGATTGCTGACAAAATCTTAATATCTCAATAGCTAAATAAAATATACCTACTTGAACAAACTAAAGGCTCAGCTTGCACTTAACTGCAGTCTAGCAGGAAAAAAGTGGCCATACTTGCCATACTATAGAGTGCCGCAGATACACGTGGCGCAATATTGATACATGGCAGTGTAGACTAATACTACTACAGTCCAACAAGATTTGAACTATCAGAAGAATTCATTAATTGACTTGAATTCTTGAGCAGTTGATTTCACTTATTTGGTGGAGAAAACTCAGTATCTATGCAACTTGTCTCATCATTAGTCTCAGACTGTGGGCAAAATTGATGCATTTGGGAACATGATCAGCTTTCCAAAAGTTTCATCCATTCCTCTCAGGTTGGTACTTTACCTCGCATAAATGCAAGTTAACCATCCTCATGATGGACTACTACAGTTCTGTGTCAAATGCTAAATGTCAAAATAATGAAAAATTAAAGAAAAATATTTGCAAACAAGATTGGTTATTTTGTTGTGATTCCTCACATACATTAAATCTCTCCCCTAGCTTACTGTCTTTTCCATTAACATTTCAAAATCTCCTTTCCAATTTTCAAAATGGAAGAAACATCTGAACTGGCCTCTTAGCTAAATCATCTCCCTCAGGATTCACCTTGAAGAATTTCTGTTGGAAAATATCACCAACAAAACTTCAGAGTGGGGCTACAGCAAGAAAGATGCAAAACAATTTCTTATGAATGTTCAGCTGAAGGACGGGATGAAAAGTTTAACTACTTTTGGATAAAGATGAAAGGCCTTTCCAGTAAGACACCTTCATTTAACTGGAAGCTAGGGTTTATACGAGTGCATATGTAAACAGGTATCTTGGAAGAGGTTCAGTATATTTAAATTGAACAAGCATGCAATTAGGTATCACAGCAAGTTAATTCCATAAGAGATGCCCAATAAAAGACTGCAATAATTGTCCTAGGGCAGGATCTGATGAGTTTACAAATAACAAAAAATCCTATCCAGGAAAAAACCCACCACTCTATTAGTAACTAAGTTTCAGGGCCAGAGAGAAGAACAGAGGTAAGAGGAAAAACATTCCTGAAGTAGTAAAAAAACCCAGAACAAAACAAAAAAAATACAACAGTAATAATGGCCATAATAATGTTACCAAAACACAGCAGTGGAAATAAGAAAGCTAAGTTAGTATTCCAAATCTAAACTACATTTATTTTTTGACGCTAAAAACCCTGAAATCTCTCTCTACCCAAGCTAGATGATTCCTTCATTCTACCATTATGACAAAGCAAGGGGGACAAAAGCTGCCAATTTCCACTGACACAGAAGTTTGACATTACTGGCCGAAAAAATAAAATCACGCTTGAGACGTAAAAAGTCTGTTTGGGAGAGCAACTATCAGAAAACATTCTTTTTAGGTATCTTCATTTCTCAGTTCGAATGCCCAAATGAAGATGGGAACAGCTAAGGGTGAGCTGCTGTAAGCAGAAATAAGCCTCTAAATTCACCTCCCTCTTCAAGCTCTCTATCTATATTTAGTCTGAAAGGAAAAAACAGACATAGAAAAAGAAAGTGTGATGTATCGAAATAGCAACCTCACAGATACTGCAGACAGAAAGAAATGGGAACACTAGAAAGACACCCCAAGTCCATAAAATTTGGTCTAATAAACATAGATTATCACTTCCATTCCTGGGAAGATTCCTGGGAAGTTTGTTTTGTTGGTTTGGGTTTGGTTTGGTTTTTAAAGTCATTTCCCCAAGCATCTAGGTAATTCATAAAGAAAATTACTACAGATACCCAGTTAGCAACATATAGCTGGTGTTCCTATTATTCTTATATCTCATGTGGGAATTACTTCTTGCCTTGAAAATGGAATTAGGGTTACAAAGAAAACCAGCTAATCAAAGCCAAAGGGATTCTGAAGGAGCAACCAATACTCATTTAAGTTATTGGTCAACTCAAAACACAACCGCAAATAAGTGTCAACTTTCACCATTGTTGCTTAGAAGTCCAATACGCTCAAACCAAAAGTATCTCTGGAAATCATAATGCTAATCAAAAAAAGGTTTCCTTGATGAAGGATAGTCTAAATTCTTTCATGAGTTTCCGATTGCTTATTACATGCTTTGAGCACCTAAGTAAAACAAGAAGGAAAAAGAAAAAACCCAAACCTTATGATCTACAGCAGTGCCTTCAAAATACACAGAGAAGAAAAATAAACCAGTAATAATAGAAGCACAGCTATAAGGGTGTAACTAATTATTTATAATTTTCCTATGTGTGTAAAAAAGAATATGCTTTATTACATTATCTCACATAAACTGAGATGTGATATTGAAAAAGGAAACACAGAGCATTTATTTGGAAAAAAGAAACATCTATTGCGTAGCATGCAAATAAAATAGTAAAAAAGTTTCAATACCTTATCTGGCCACCACTGCAAGTCTTCTCCTAAAGAAACAGGACTTTGAACAGGTGTATTCTTCTTGTCCAGGTTTGGTTCCCCTTCCTTACTTGTAGAGCCTCTTTCATTATCAAATGAGGCTCCATCAAGCCACCTTCGTTCACGCAAACGTAAAACGGACTCACGTTCACGCAACAGCTCAGAGTCTCTCTCTAAGGGAAGAAGGAGAACTGGTATGCAATTGGGTCACACCAGTGGGATAAAAGTAAGCCACTCTCTAGTAAAGACCCTTCAGGATGCAACTAACAGCAGTTAAATCTACTCACACAGATTAAAAATAAAAGTCCTGACATGCAACATTCAATATATTAACCCTTTCAAGCATATGTACTTAAGAATTACTAAACATAAAAACAAGCTAAAAATAAAGAAGTCTTACAGTTTTGTGCACTATAAAAAAATGCTAAAGCATTTTCACTTACATCATAAGAGGCCAAATACATTTAACATTGCAATTTAAAGTTTTATAATACAATATGCAGAGTCTTGTAGTATTGTTTTATCAATGTAGTAACAACAAAAAAAAATCTAAGTCTATATAGTCTGTTAAGATATCTTTATGCAAACCAAAAAAGAGTATTTATTAGAGAGTTTCATAACAACTTTCCCAAAAAAACAGTAATCTGAAAAGGTTAAAGAAAGCAAGCATTAAAAAAAAGCTCTTGTATACATGTTTGATAATCCAACCCCTTTTGTTTAAAGCAACATTCCATAGGACTGGATTTAATAAATTAAAGTGTATCTATTTTGAGTAGATCAAATGAAAACTTTTAAAGAGTCAGACAAGTTTCAAAAAGGATCCTTGTAGGAAAATGTTCCTTACCAAAATGCTTCCCCTCCAATTGGCCTACAAACTGTCTAAAGCCAGTACTCTGCAGTTCGCTCATGCAGATAAATTTTTTAAATCAGGTAATCAAACTAACTTTCCAAGAGTCAACTATGCATGGAAAATAAGGATTATAAAATTCGTGGTAACGTCTTATATAGAATAACCTTAGGAAAGGAAAAAAAAGGAGGAATTTAGAAGGAGTTATGTCAGATGCTGAATATTTGTACATGCACATAATGCATTTAACCTATTAAGTACTTCACTTATGCTCACAAAAATCAACTGGAATTACATGTATGACTACATTATTATATCATAGTTTCAACAAATTACGCCAAGTCTTGGGTCTTTTGCTATATTAGACAAATGGGAAAGTTTTTACATAAGCCAAACACGACATCTTGTCTTACAGATATATTTCATAAAGTACTGTACTTATTTTCTAGCAAACATCACACTGACCCCTGACTAATAATTTTGTAACGGGAACTTACGTGTTCAGCAATTAATGTACTAAAACATATTCATGAAAGGCAACAAAACTGTACTAAACAAACAATCACAGCAGAGGTTGGATTAACAGTTTGGAAATACTCTAGGCATTTGCGCAACAGCTTCAAAAAGATAGGAAATTGCTGCATGGTCTGTTATAAATCTTTTAAGTGTAATATGCTTTTTTTTTTTTAAAAAAAAAAAAAAAGGAAAAATGCCTTAACACTGCTCAGGGAGTTTTTTTAGTCAGCTGCCAGTAGTTCTCCTCATCCAACTATAAAAATGCTTCTAAAAAGTAAAATTTAGATTTCTTCTCCCTCCTTAGTATCTAAAGTTCCTCATTCCATAAAGGTAGCTTCTGTCATGGAACAATTAAGGAAATGTGAAGAACAGTGAACAAAGAGCAACCCAAAAGGAAGGAGAAAAAAAAAAAAAAAGAAAGATTAAGAATGCTGCATGTCACCAATTGTTACTCATTTCTGAGCCAAATTACGTATTTGTAATGCAATCTATGTATTAGTAGGTACTTACACTACATAAAATAAACTTAATGTGCAACAATTTTTTAACACCTTACAACACCAATGGTCAATGATTTAAAATACATGACTATCAAGGTTCTTGCAGAACTTACCTGCTAATATTCAGAATTCATTAATAATTTTGATAATGAGTAACAGTCTATTTGTCTACTCTATATTTGACAACATATCACAGTCTACTTTCGCATTAAATCAGAATCTAAACCACCAGCGTGTACTATCACTAGCTTTTTCCACAGCAAACTACTTATTACAAAGAAAAAAGGTGCAAAATTACCTCTGGATGAGCCTAGCCTGGAAAGTGATGAGCGCCGAAAGGATGGATAACCAAAGTAACTAATATCTTCTGAAAACATAGCATCAGCATCAATAATGACACTTGGGTGAGCAGAATGTATGTCAGCATCCAGAAGAGACATAAGATCCTCTATAAGAGGAGACAAGGGTCTTAAGTGAATAATCAGCTACTTAAAACATCAGCTAGAGAGACCATCAACTAAACAAATATCAAAACAAAAAAATCCTATCTATTAATTGAATTTCTGCTCTTCAGATTCACCAGTGCAAACTCATGTGCCTCCTATGCAACCACATTTACAATCAAGCTTGGTGGACTAGTGAACAAAACCAGTTTCCCTAC